ACCCTGTCTCTAACCCCACCTCCCCAAATTGAGATTTTATTTTCTGTGTATGGGTGTTTTGTCTGCATGCATGCACTGCCCACGGAAGCCAGAAGAGGGCATCGAATCCCCTCGAGCTGGAGTTACACAGTGGTGCTGGGAATTGAGCCTGGGTCCTCTGCTCTTGAACTCTAAGCCATGTCTCCAGCTCCACCACCTTCTGTCCATTTCATTTACTAAAAACTCTTTAGTTAGCTGTAAACTGGGAAGAAAATGATGGTCGATTCCCATTGTCCTATAGAAGACAATAGTTTAAACATTTGTTTGTTTTGTTTGACAGTGTCTCACTATGAAGCCCTGGCAAATCTGCAGCTTGCTGTGTTGATCAGAATGGCTTGGAACTCATGGAGATCCACCTACCTCCTGAGCGCTAGTTCTAATGGCTTGCACCTCTACTCCCTGTCCCTGCAGTCTGTTTTTTTTTTTTTTCAGCAGGATTTGCATTTTAGAGAAGGGACTCCCCGGGTTTGAAGAAAGGAACTAAGAAGTCTGGGCGCCAGTGAAGACTTGGTGGAGGCATTTCCCTTGCAGTGAACCAAACGCATCGGGCTGCACCAGGCAAGGGGAAGGCCAGGCCTGAGTTTGTGTCCTGAATACAAAGTTTCCTTGTAGATATCAGACTTGGCAAACCAACCCAATTACATTTTTTTACATTTTTGGTCTTAGTATAATTACAGCAAAAAGTTTCAAGCCTTAGGGAAGATTTTTTTTTCTAGGATATAGTTAAAGACGTTTTCATGGCTTTCAACTTTTACTCTGTTGCATATTCAACTGAGGGTTTGCAAATTATTAGTCACACTGTTAAATACATTTTCCCCCCTGGACTGGTGAAGTTCTTGCCTTGCGAGCATAAGGACCTAAATTTGACCCCTGGTTCCCAGGGCTGATGGTGTACACTTATAAGCCAAGTGCTGGACAGGCAGAGAGGGGCGGCTCCCTGGGCTCGCTGGCCAGTCAAGAGAGTCTGGTGATCTCCAGGGTAAAGAGAAACTGTCTCAAAGAAGGTGGATGCCATGCCTGAGGATGACACCCAAGTTGTCCACTGACCTCATACCAATGTATACACACACACACACGTACACACATTAATTTCTTTTCTATAGCCATTGATAACAAAACACAAAATACACTTTATTTTAATCAAAACGTCAAAAAATAATTTAATTTTTAAAAGATAGTGTCCCCCTATATGACCCAGGCTGACTTTGAACCCACAGTTCTCCTGCCTCAGCCTCCTGAACATTGCATGTTGCCAAAGCCCAGCCCATAAAAACGTAAAATAGATAAACACAAACTGATAAAATATGGAGTAGATATGTTTGAAGAAAACTATAAAACCTAGCTGAGAAACAATAAACCCGGGGAAATTTAGAGAAACATTAATTCTCTCCAAATAGGTCCATAAGTGTTAACACAGGCTCAACGGTGGAGATTTGACAAAATGTGCTAAACTGCACCAGGAATAACAAATATATAAGGGAGAGCAGTGGACACCAGGCACACAAGTGGTAGGCAGACAGGCTTTCTGGCAAAACACCTGCACACAGCCAATAAAATTGAAATAAAAAGGTATAGAGTCAATTATGGGTACGTAAGGAATTTCTAAATGAGTTAGAACTTGTTTTTGTGGTTTACTCAGTTGTTTCTAATAAATCCCGCAACAGCAGGGCAGACGGAAGCTGCCGGAAGAGGAAGATGTGAACCACAACCTCCCATTTTAGGCCATCTTTACATTGATTTCCTTTTACAGCCGGAGCACGCAGCTATAAATAAGCCTTCCAAGGTGGACAGAGTGAGAACACCTCCATGGTGTCCTTCAGCAACAGTTGCCATCGCTGCCCTTGCTCTGGGTGCTGCAAGCAAGGGCCGCTGGCGTGCAGACTCATGCCCAGCTGAAGTGGGGTGCTTGCCCAGGCACCCCCACCCTTTATTCTTCTCCACAAACCAGTAACATTCTGCTACTCTAGCCCTCATTTTCTTTGCAAATCAGCGTGCAAAGTACCTGGGGGAGCAGGGGAGACATCTGCCGCTAAGCCGAATGACCTGAGTTCGGTCCCCAGGACCCTCACGATGGAAATCAAGAACACACTCCTGCCAAGCTCTCTGAACTTCACGCCTGTGCCACTGCATTCGCACATCCACATCCACACAAATAACATTTTCACAATATATCTGGAAATACGTTTTCAGAAAAAAAAAATCTTCACCTGTACATCACCTGTCACATCTGCCAAGGGTATTTGTACACACAGAGGTGCTTGGGGCAAAGTAACAGCTACAGTGACCACACACGGGACAGTCTCCAGCTGTGGACTATGTGTCTGAGGAAGAATACACACCTGTGTCCACATGGAGCTTATGTAACTGCAATGAGGGACTTAGGCACATGGGTGTGGTTTCTTTATGCCAGTGGTCTCTCTCTTCCCTACACTCAGCCTTGCTTTTGTGACTTGTTTCTGTCCATTTCTGTCTTTTTCTTTGTTCTCTTAAGAGCCTATAGTATTAGGAATAGTTAAGGGTTTTTTGTTTTGTTTTGTTTTGTTTTGATTTGTTTTGGTTTTTTGAGGCAGGGTTTCTCCGTAGCTTTAGAGCCTGTCCTGAAACTAGCTCTTGTAGACCAAGCTGGCCTCAAACTCACAGAGATCTGCCTCCTCTGCCTCCCGGGTGCTGGGATTAAAGGCGTGCGCCACCACTGCCTGGCTTTTTGAAGCGAGGGCAAGGGCTCAAGAGATGCCACAGTTGGGCTGGAGAGATGCCTCAGAGGTTAAGAGCACTGGCTGCTCTTCCAGAGGTCCTGAGTTCAATTCCCAGCAACCACATGGTGGCTCACAACCATCTGTACTGAGATCTGGCGCCCTCCTCTGGCGCGCGGGCATACATGGAGGAAGAATGTTGTATACATAATAAATAAATCTAAAAAAAAGAATTATTTAAAAAAAAAAAGAGATGGCACAGTGGTTAAGAGCACTGGCTGCTCTTCAGAGGACCTGGGTTCAATTCTTAGCACCCACACAGCAATTCACAATCTGTAATTCAGTTCGGGGGCCTCTGAGCCACCAGGCACCTACGTGATGCACAAACACCCATACACAGCAAATAATAGATTTTAAAGAGAAATACAATAAAGAAGTTTGGAGTAAGGGGCTCAATGATTAAGAGCACTGACTGCTCTTCCACCTACATGGAAGCTCAGAAGCATCTATAACTCCAGTTCCAAAAAATCTGGCTCCTTCTTCTGACCTCAGTGGGTACCAGGCATGCATGTGGTGCACATACATACATGCAAGAAAAACATTTATACACATAAAAGCAAGTTTTTTTTTAAAAAAAAGTTAGTCAAAATAACATATTCAAAAGAAATTGTTACCAATTGATATCAAATAATTACATTTTGTGGATTTTATAGTGAGTATTGCTTAATTAGAGGCATGGGGCCAACTATATTTTCTACTTCCTTGTCTTTGTCACTGACTGTTGCAGTGTGTGCATGTTCCCGGAACTGTGTGCAGGAAAGCTGGTCCCCATGCGGCTGTACAGAGAGGGGGCATCTTTGGGAGGTTATCAGGGATGCAGGTTCTGGTGGATTACTGGATGCTGTGGAAGCCCTCTTGTCCTGCTTCTCTTGCTGCTGAGGTGACTAGACCCTCCTTGGAAGCCAGCACCACCCTCCAGAACTGTGAACTAAGAAGATTCATTTGTGTATTTAGACAGTTAGTTATGAGACAAGTCTCATGAAGTCCAGGCCCCAAACTCCTTATGGAGCTGAGACTGGTCTTGACCTACTTGTCCTCTTGCCTCCACCCAAAGTGCTAGGATTGCAGGCTGTATCACTACGTCTAACATCTTAGTATTGAGCCAGTCTGTGGCACTCAGTTATTGATAGCCATGGAAAACCAAGATACTGAGGCTGTATTGTTCACTTGTTGGTTTATCTCTCAGTAGGATGTAAATTCTGAGAACTAGATCTTGGTCTTATTCTCTACTAGAACTCAATTGGGTATTTTCTTCTGCTCACCGTGCTCCCACAGTCCCTCCGCTTGCCGTGCTCCCACAGGTCCTCCTCTCTCCGTGCTCCCACAGGCCCTCTGCTCTCTGTGCTCCACAGGTCCCCAGCTCATCATGCTCCCACAGGCCCTCCACTCTCCGTGCTCCCACAGGCCCCCTGCTCACCGTGCTCCCACAGGCCCCCTGCTCACCCGTGCTCCCACAGGCCCCCTGCTCACCCGTGCTCCCACAGGCCCCCTGCTCACCGTGCTCCCACAGGCCCCCTGCTCACTGTGCTCCCACAGGCCTCTGCTCGCTGTGCTCCCACAGGTCCCCTGCTCACTGTGCTCCCACAGGTCCCCTGCTCACCGTGCTCCCACAGGTCCCCTGCTCACCGTGCTCCCACAGGCCTCCTCTCACCGTGCTCCCACAGGCCCTCCACTCTCCGTGCTCCCACAGGCCTCTGCTCACTGTGCTCCCATTCCAATTCTTTCCCCTTGAAAGCGAGCATATCTTGACTTTTGCTGTCAACCATCACTTGTTCTCTTCAGAGTTCCATCACATACAATTTATTTCTAAACCCTGCAGCTTAAGTTGTCTTTTAAAAAATTATACCTCAAGCTAGCAAGGTGGCTGAGTAGGTGAGGGTGTTCGTCTCCAAAGCCTGACAACCTGAGTTCAACCCTCAGGACCTACAGGGTGGGAGGAGAAAAATGACTCCCTCAAGCTGTCCTCTGATCTTCACACAGATGACACAACACATAATTATTGTTTTAAAAGAAAGGAAGGACAGGAAAGAAACACAATGTATATTCAACAAATGAGGGGATATATTGTAGAAAACGCTGTGCTTCAGACACAGGAAACAGGACTGTGAGCTGGAGCTGACCTGAATGCCCCCTCCCTGAGGATAAGCTCTTATGGTACCAGAAGGATCCATGTGAGTCTCTCAGAGAGGAAAGGAGCCAACAGTGCTACCCAGTTAAGATGCCCATGAACCACAGCAATGACCAGTACATCACGGCCACCCGGGGATGCAGTAGTGGTACATGTACTCTGGCATAACCAGCAGCTCTCTGATGGGCTTCAGATACACTCAGGAAGAGAGAAGTATGTCAGGTACAGGACTGTCAGAGACCTGGTCACATACGCAGCACCAGTGGAGTCATGGATCTCGGAGGAGCATCTGTCACGTCCTAAAGAAGAGAGAAAAGGAATAATTATAATAATAAAAGAATAGTAAAGCCATAGCCCATTAGATCTAGATCACTATGCATTAACTGGATAATTTACTCAAAGATCAAAACCATCTATTTCATGAGTACCCATGCCATAAGCAAAAAATAAAATTATGGCTCAAGAGGCACATACAAAACTATCCAGAAAGTTGAAAACAAAACAATCAAATATAAATACATACAAAATATAAATGCAAATATAAAAATGAAGAATATGTAGGTCTGTTGACAGCATTTAATGGACTTTACAGCAGAGAAGTGGAATTTAGAAGGAGAAGCAGAGCTGGAGAGATGGCTCAGCAGTTAGGAACATTTGCTGTCCTTTCAGAAGACCCAGGTTCAATTCCCAGCACCCACATGATGTTAACCATCCACAACTCCAGTTTCAGGGGATCAGCTGGCTGTCTTATACCAGGCACACACATGGTGCACATACATAAAGTAAGAAGCATTGTTTAACATAAAAATAAACTTTTAAGAAAGTTTTTTTTATTTTATGTGTATACGATGTGTGTATGGATGGTGTGTATGTGTGCTTGCCTGTACCATGGCGCGTACGTGGAGGTCATGGGACAAGTTTGTAAAATTGTTTCTCCTACCTTGACATGAGCTCCAGGGACTAAACTCCAGGCATCAGGCCCATGTAGCAAGCAAGCACCTGCACCTGAACCTTTACCTGATGAACAATCTTGCTGACCCTGAAAGTAAAATAAATAAATAAATAAATAAATATTGAAAAGAAAGATCACTACAATCACTAGGAAAGATAGTAATTAGGGATCATAATTTTGGCTGGGCATGATGACATGAACATGTAATTTCAGCTGTCAGGAAGCTAAGACAGGAGAATTTTGAATTTGAAGCCAGTGAAAATTACATATGAAGGCCTTGTCTCAACAAAAATCAAACGTTTGGAGGTAGTTTAGTGGTAGAGCCTGTGCCCAGCATACATAAGGCTCTGGCACAATTGTGAGTTTCACAATAAAGCAAAACAACAGTAACAATCACAGTTTGAAGATAGCAAGAGAAAATGGCACAATTACGATGTTAACCCAAAACTCAGTCGAGAAAGATCTCCTTCAGTTGACTGAATATATGAAGTAGGAAGCTTGGTGGTCTAACATAACTGAGCAGAGAAGAGCCAATGGACACAGGATGTCCATCCCTGTGAGTCAGACAATGGGCAGTGCAGGCTATGGGACTGAAGCCTCTCTACCGTCACTGACAAAATCGGCATTAACCAACAAGGATGTGGGAGAAACGAGAGCCCTCATGCACTAGGTTATGATGGCCATTTTGGAAAGCTAGTCGACATTATCAAATTGAAAGCTGAGGAAATATTTACCCAGAAGTTCTTTGTAACTACACACCACAGAGAAACTCCTGTTTCATAAGTAGATATGAGCAAGATTTCTTTCTTTTTTGTTTCTTTTTAGTTATAAACTGATTGGCCCATTAGCTCAGGCTTCTTATTAACTCTTTTTTTGTTTGTTTTTCAAGACAGGTTTTACTGTAGTTTTAGAGCCTGTCCTGGAACTAGCTCTTATAGACCAGGCTTGTCTCGAACTCAGAGAGATCCGCCTGCCTCTGCTTCTCAAGTGCTGGGATTAAAGGCATACGTCACCACTGCCTGGCCTTATTAACTCTTATAACTTATATTAGCCCATTATTTTTGTCTATGTTAGCCACGTGGTTCGGTACGTTATTCAGCGAGGCAGTCACATCTTGCTTCTTCTGTGGATGGGTCACAACGACTGATGAGCAAGATTTCTTGCAGTGTGTTTTGAACCTTGGAAAACCTGAAATCTATTTAAATGTGCATCAATAAGAAAATAAATTTGCTAAAATTAAATCTTAGATATCAAAATAAAAGTTCTGGAGTATAGGATAAATAATTTACAGCTATTGTGAATATAGAGATTACAGAATGATAAAGAGAAAAGATAGCATTGCCATTTTTAAAACAATCACAGTAGTAATATATGAAATTATTGGTACATAAATCTGTGGCCAAAATATGAAAAGATACATGAGAATGATATACAACAGCATTTAGAGTATGATGGATCAGAAAGAAGGAAAGGCTACTACTAACATTTCAAAAAATAAATGCGGATGGGTGAGACAGCGTACACCTTTAATCCCAGCAGAGGCAAGCAGACCTCTGTGAGTTTGAGGCCAGCCTAGTCTACAGAGAGTTCCAGTTCAGGCAGAGCTACACTCTGTGTGTGTGTGTGTGTGTGTGTGTGTGTGTGTGTGTGTGTGTGTGTGTGTTCATGGAGCGACCATATTCTGTAGACATACTTGCAGAATAGAAGCACATTTGTACAAGTCTAAGAAAATGGCTTGTGGACCCTAGACTGGCACACACAGATGTGTCTGCTATTGGTCTTCAGAATTCCCGCCATTATCAACAGGCACTAATCCATGTCCCTTGGGAAGTCTAACAATTGGAAACCACCTGTTTGTTTTAGCCGAGTTGGCCTTCGTTTTGTAATGAGTAACTACAGCCAAGTCAGAAGTCAAGCTTGTCTGGCTGAAGTAGCATTAGTCTTGTCGCACCTTTATTGAAGGTCGTCTCTGCAAGGCAACTGTAGGCTGTTCAAGAGGTATATGAAAGACCTCCTCTAGTGTCAAAGACCTTACAAATATTAGCTTTGAAGATAAGACTCACAGGGAGTAAAAGCCAGATAAATATTTTAATACACTTAGGAATAATTACACTGGTTTAGGAAAGAGAGTACCCGAGATGAATTCCCTGCTGTTCATTAGGCCTTAAGTCCAATTAGACAGCTGTTGGCAACCCCCCAAGATATAAGAACCACTTTTGGTAAGCCCCAAGATCTAAATGCCACTATCACAGTAACGCAGGACTGATAATCACTGTGATTGACAGCTGGACTACTGAGGGCTCGCCTCCCCTGGCAGTCTGCACAGCACCTTCTGGTATTAGGAAAGCTGGTCCTCAGGGAGGAAACTTTTAGGTCAGACCCCTCTGAGTCCTGTGTCCAAAGTGCATGGTTGTTTTCTGAATTGGGAACTTACTTCCAGCTTTTGGGAGGCAACCAAGGAATACAGCAATAGTCTATATTGCTTGGGGAGTCTGTTCAACTCTCCTGACCAGCAACTCAGAAGGAGGTTTCTCATGCCTGGGACTGAAGTTTTTGTTAGATAGTCCATGACTCTTGTGAAGATCTTAAGAATGAGGAGGATTTATTCTGAGCAGAAGTGGAATTTAAAAGTAAGACCGTGGGGCTGGAGAGATGGCTCAGTGGTTAAGAGCATTGCCTGCTCTTCCAAAGGTCCTGAGTTCAATTCCCAGCAACCACATGGTGGCTCACAACCATCTGAAATGAGATCTGATTCTCTCTTCTGGCTTGCAGGCAGACACACAACAGAATATTGTATACATAATAAATAAATAAATATTTTTTTTTAAAAAAGTAAGACCGTCCTCAGGCTGAGTTCTTGCTCTAGATCTGAAGAAGATCTCTTATATTACCCACGATCACTGGATTTGAAAACAGTTTGACTTGCTTGCTTTGGAGAGAGGGTGATGTGGGAGTGTCATATACTAATCTGTTGATTTCATTGGTTAAGTTATAATAAACCAGCTGCTTGGCCTCATGGCTTGGAACATAGATGGGAGGAGTAAACAGAATAGAATTCTGGGCGGAAGAGGAAGTGAGGTCAGACTCTGCTCTGCTGCCAGAGAGACCCGACAGCTCTGCTGGAGCAGAGACGCCATGCTCAGCTCTCCTGGGTAGACGCAACGATGGATGGAGGCTAGAATCTTCCCGGTAATCGCACCTTGGGGTGCTTACATACATCATTAGAAATGGGCTAGTCCAGGTGTGAGAATTAGCCTGTAAGGGTTAGAGCTCATGGGCCAAGCAGTTCTTTAAATGAATACAGTTTGTGTGTTGTTATTTCGGGCGTGAGCTAGCCAAGCGGCTGGGGTGTTGGGGACGCAGCCCCGCCGCTTCTTATTTCAACAAGAGGGGACCTTAAATGAGACAATGCCTCCATCAGATTGACCTATGGGCAAGTCTGTGGAATATTTTCTTGATTAATGGTTGATTAATCAAGGGCCCAGTATTGCAGGATATTTGATCACACTGTGTGAAAAATCTGTTACTGTTTTACCTTGCCTGAAAGGCACCTTCTGATTGGTTTAATAAAGAGTTGAACAGCCAATAGCTATGCAGGAAAGAATAGGCGGGACTTCCAGGCAGAGATAGGAACTCTGGGAAGAAAAGAGGTGGATTTTGCCAGCTAGATGCAGAGGGAGGCAGATATACATTGTGGCAGAATGTAGATTAATATGAATGGGTTAATTTAACTTATAAGAGCAAGTTGTGGACAACCCTAAGCTAAGGCCAAGATTTGTAATTAATAAAGTCTCCATGTCATTATTTGGGAGCTGGCAGTCCCAAAAAGAAAGTCCAGCAAAAGCCCAGACATGGAGCAGTGCCATCCCTCTGCAGGTCCTGGGTGATATAGGAAAGTAGGCTAATCAAGCCATGGAGGACAAACCAGTAAGCCTCATTCCTCCGTGGTCTGTGTTTCAGAACCTGCCTCCAGGTTCCTGCTTTGGTTTCCCTTCATCATAGACTGTAAACTAGAAGACCCGCGTTCAATACGCAGAACCCATGTGAGAAGAAGCCAGATACATGCTTATGAGCTTAGTGTGAAAGGTATCAACAGGTGGATCACTAGGGCCAGCCTGGCATGCTTGGGGAGTTCCAGGCAAGTGGACCGATCCAGAGGACTGGCATCTAAGGTTGTCCTCCTGCCTCTACACGTGCATGGACATCTGTGTGCAGACACCTGCACATACAAACATACACACCCTACACTACACTGGCATACCTCCATATCCCAACCCTTCCTTGCCCCAGCTTTATAATCAGGGCTGAAATGTAGTAGAGACCATGCTGTCCTTCTTCCTGTCCCTCCTCAGTCACACGTTTCATAAGGGGCAAATCCCCAAACCCACTCAAATGTGCAACAGTGAGAACAACCCTACTGACTGCATCCCGGGGCGTGGTGGTGGGTAAACAGGGCTCCAGGGGCCTGTGAACTGGAAAGCTGGTCTTGACATCTGTTCCTTCGGCCTCTCTCTTGTCTCTTTCCTTTGTTTTCCTGTCTTTCTCCATTTCTGTCTGTGTTAGCTATCTCTGTTTTACTCACCTTGCACATAGTCCATTGGCATTAGCCATGACCAAGCAAAATTTTAGATTACACATTTAAAAGCTTTTCTTTGACATTTACTCGTTTGTGTGTGCATCTATGTGCAGGGGTGCCCATGCGATGCCGTGCATTCGTGTGCACATCAGAGGGCAGCTCGTGGAAGTCAATTCTTTCCTTCCGTCTTGTGGGTTCTGCATATTGAACTCAGGTTGTCATTCCCTCTGCCTGTCACCTACACATTGATAGAGGAGAAAGAACCGCTTCCGAGGAATCCCTTGATTCAGATTCAGATACAGTGGCTGCTGGTGTCACCCGAGAGCTCACCAGTGAGGCAATCTCTAAATTGCTGAGGATCCGCACAGGTCTTTCCTTTGCCCTAACAGGCGGACAATATCTCAACTGGGAAAAGATCCATTGTTTTAAGTTAGAAAAACAAAACATTTGTGGGGCAGGAGTGTATGTGAAACACTGCATTGGGGAGGGCAGAGGAGAGCTTGTAGGGTCCATTTTTCTCCTTCCACCACGTGGCTTCCAAGGATCAGACTTGGCTACAGTATTCTTATTTACTGATGTGTAGTAATAAATCTGTCTCTACCTAGCCCCCAGGCTAGTCTGGGCTACACAATAAGACCCTGCTCCTCCTAGTCTTCCCTACTCAGAACTTCTTGTGTGCATTTTCAAGGTGAAATTATAAAAGAAAATTATAAAAATAAATTGACAGTGATGAAGAGCCCAGCAATCACTTTTTGTCAAATTCAACAGTTGAAAAGCATATTAACCCCTGTAGCTGGCGGTAATGGGTGACTGCAGAAGGGAACATGTTCACCTATGACATTTGAAGTTATGAATCCAATATAGACCATGAGGAATGCCCCCTCTCTCAGTGCCTCTTGTAGTTCAAAATACATAAACCTTTGCCTCAGTCACCTGTTAGTCCTCAGAAATAAGCACACTGGCACCTAATAACAGGCATACAAGAATTGTCACTGCAACCTTTTTTTGTGGGGACAAAACATAAAACTGGGACCAAGTTGCATGTCCATCAATAATTCGAGGCACATCTACCTACCCAATAGAATATTAAACAGCACAGACTATCAGTGCTTTAATCACTGTTCCATTGCTGTGAAGAGACACTGTGACCAAGACAACTCTTATAAAGATAAGCATTCAATTGGGGTTGGCTTACAACTTCCGGGGCTTAGTCCATTATCACCATGGCAGGGAGCACAGCAGGGAGCACAGAGGCAGGTGTGCTGTGGGACAAGTAGCTGAGCGCTATATCCTGATCCCTAGGCTGAGAGAGAAAGACTGGGCCTGGCACGGGCTTTTGAAACCTCAGTAATACTTCCTCCAACAAGGCCATACCTCCTAATCCCCAAATAGTGCCACTTCCTGATGATTAAACATTCAAATACGTGAGCCTACAAGGGCTGTTCTTATCCAAACCACCACAGTCATCTACCCAAAGAATAAGTGAACTCATTTGAGTTGGGTTTCCCCTGTAAGTTTTTATAAAGCAAATGCAACACAGAGACATTATAACCTTTAATTTATAAAGGATGATATGTCTGTTTATTGTATATAATTTTAAGGATATCTCCATGTATATATGTCTGCTTATTGTATATCATTTAAAGGATGATATCTCCATGTATATATGTCTGTTAGTTAATAGAGGTGAAGGTGGAGCTGGAGAGATGTCTCAGTGGTTAAAAGCACTGGTTGCTCTTCTAAGGGATCACATTCAATTCATAGCACCCACATGGCACCTCATAATCATCTGTAACTCCAGTTCCAGAGGAGTCTACATCCTCTTTTTGGCCTCTGTAGGCACAAGGCACACATGTGGTGCACCGATATACACGTAGGCAAAACACACTCCCTGCATGAGAACCAGCTTTCACGGTACTGGAATGTGCCATGCAAGCTTCTATGGGAGAGAAGCAACCAGGAATTCTATCTATGGTGCCTATGAACTGCAATGACCAGCATGTCCCAATGACCCTAAGGGCACGGTAATGACACTCATACCTTGGCATACCAAACGCTCTACAATGGACTTAAGGCCTACTCCCCGAGAGGAAAATCATACCTGGTACTGGAAACCTAGCCAACCACTTAGGGCTAGTGACTTCGTGGATCTTAGAGGAGAGTCTACAGTCACCACTTTGCTAAACCAGCATGATTTCTAGCTACATTCTAAATATTTATCCTTATATCTACAGATAAGTGTAGTTCTCACTACTCATCAAGGAAATGTCTCTTTGCAACAGACAGAAACCATCACAGAAAACCACAACCTGTCAAAATACAGAGAACAAGTGATTGCTTGGTGTCCAGCCACAATTGGTGGATCTACAGTGCACCTCCCACATCTAAGGCTCGGGGAACACCACAGAAGAGGGGGTGCAAACATGATAATAATCATAGGAATAGTAAGTCAGCGATGAGAGTTTTAGCACTAGGCATGCATTTCCCCCTGATAGGAAGCAGCTGGCTAACCCCATAACCCTCATGCCATGACTGCACCCATGGGTATATCTTACCAGGTCAATCCTTATTGTTCCTTGCAGGATTCACAGCTGGATCAAGACTGTTGCTAGCTGCTCCCCTAGCAGCCTGTATAGAACCTTCCAGCATTGTGAAAACCAGCCGTCTGGGAGGAAGCTTCCCTGTCAGTGCTAGCTTGATTTTCTTTCATGTCCTGTGACCATGAAAGTGTTGTGTCTCAGCAGCGGGGTCTTCTCATCAAGGTCTTGGGCAACCAAGCGCAACGGCCACGGCTCATGCTGGCTTGGGAATCCTTGCTGGGGGAGACGTCGCACATCTGGTGCTGAGGTTTTCCTTTGGCAGCCTTTGGCTTGTGGGAAGAGCCTTGTCCCTGTGTAGGGGAACTCCAATTACACATGTATAACACATAATAAATAGATATGAAGTTTATAAAATAGTAGATTTCCATATGTCTTTTCCAAACATACTTAATGCTGGCTACCTCTCCCAGTTAACATTTCTGGGAGTAAGGGGATGGGGCTAAAAGGGAAAAGGAAGAGCGCAGGTCAGAGGCGAGCCTGGAGACAGACGCAGGAGAGGGGAAGTGAGCAATAACCCAGAAATTCGTTTCAAGCGCAGCACCTATCCAGGGTGGGCTGAAGCTTTTCACACGAAACTTTGAATCTGAGAAAGCCTGCGTGTGTTTTTGCACAGCTTCGGGTGTTGTTTTCTAACTAGAGGGTCTGGCTGAGTGGGTATTTTCTCTAAAGTAGAGGTGCATGCCGTGTTCTCCAAGCTCAAGCACTGCAAATCGTCTTCCGCGGAAAATGCTGTGAACACATTCTAATGCAGGTACTGAAACAAAGCCAAGCCAACAGCTCTTTTCAGACCTGGCAGCCTGCCTGTTGGTCATTATTGGTTCCTCTTTCCCAAGAAAATATATATGAAGAAATTTTATTCTAATCTAAACAAACACTTTAGGATTCATAGAATGTGGGAAGCTACAGCCTCATGGCTTATATAACCGTAATGCCACGGCTATGCTGGATTTGTGAGCAAATGTTTGAAATGATAGCCATCTACTTTTGCACGGTAATAATTGTGGCTTGGCTATGCATATGTTTTGCCTGCATTATTTATTCTGAGTAAGTCTTACATTTATTTGTATTAATTTTTCATATACAAAGTTAGGAAAATTTACTTCTAGAAAGTCGTTCACCTCTAGACAATGAGGCTCTTTTAAGTAGTAAACTAGAGGGTGTTTGATTCTGCGTCTAAAAGGGCTGCTTAGGCTGCTGGATGGGAGATAAAGTTTAATGCATTCACTTTCTTTGTGGATATTTGCACTTTAAAGTGAGAACAAAAGAGCTTTAGGGCATTGCCAACATTAATGAAGAAAGTCCCTGGACCCCAGTCAACAGGAATTCTACCATGCAAATAACTAGAACCAAGAGAAGTGGATCCTGTTCCTACCCACCTGGCTCTCTGCCGGCCAGCCAGCTCTCTCCCGATTTCCATAGGCCTTCCCAGTTTGACTAGTTACCCAAATCTTTTTCTTCATTCCCAACTTGATCTTTTATTACTGTCTCTGGCTTCGAGACTGTCCCTTCTAGTTCCATAGCTGGTCCCTAAATTCTGAATCTACTCTGCCATCTAGACCTGGTGTTTGTACCTGGCCTGCAGTTTGACATTCTGCCCTCCATGGGAGCTTTGATCTGGACTCTCTTATTGCTTAGCCGTGCTAACACAAGCTATAAAATCATGATCTGCCGTTTGTTTGAAGAGTATTGAGTGTAAACGGTGCTATCTTGAGCGATTTGAAATATAAAGGTCAGTGCATGGAAGTATTGCCAAGAGGATGGATGCTCAAGCTGACTGCTCAGAGTGTCTCCAGCCTGTGGGATGCAGGGCCGCACCACATCCTGTATCTTAGGACACTTTTAGGACGTCACCTCTGTATCTTATTGACTTCTTTTTCTTATTGACTCGCGGTTAGTCAGTTGAGCGCCTTCTGTTTGGATCTATGACACAGATCTCTGCAGATATCCCATCTCATCTATGATATGCTGACTTTATTACGGTAAACGGAGTGTTTCTGAGCTCTCCAAGTCTTGAATGTCACCCTTGTCTAGTGCAGTGCCAAAAAAATGGTTTAAGTTTTGGTTTCCATCTGAGGTTGTCCTCAGCTGTGTATTGATGCTCTGCTCCTGATGGTGATGTCCTAACTTTTTAAAAAATTACACAACTAGCTTTTGGTTAATATAACAAAACACCGATGCAAGCTCTATATAAACAAAAAAGAATCACCTGATTTGTAATCTTGAAAGTGCAAGGGTACCGCATAATCCTGGCATCAGCTTAGCTCTGGTGAGGGCCATTTTTCATACATCAGATCATGGTGGGTGGTAAAAGTCGGAGAGAAGGGTCCAGCAGCAAAGCCCAGTGGGTGCTTGCACCCCAAACTGACAGCCTGGGTTCCATCACCAGAACCCACATAGGGGAGGGAGAGGACCAACTCCCAAAGGCTGACCTCTGACCACATGTGTGTCATGGCGTGCATGCACACATAATAAATAATAAAAATGAAGACATGTAAAAAGCAAGTTGGAGTGAGGGAGGGAGCAGGTGCCATATCACCAGACAGGAAGTGGCAGAATTGGGTGGGGCAGGCTTGGGGTTTATAACAATTGGAAGAATGTCAAGAAGTGATGAGAAATACTTTATAATTCCTTCCGAGAGCATGTCCCCAGCTAGCCAAGAACCTCCCCCTGGGCCCTACCTCCAAAAAGTCCCACACCATCTACCACCACTACCGGGAGGACTTAGTTTCTAATACACAGACTCCAGAAAGGCAAACCACAGCAGTGACACACCCTCATTTGAGGGGGAAGAGTTGAGACAGGGTTTCTCTGTGTATCCCTGGCTGTCCTGGAACTCAGAGACGCTCCTGCCTCTGCCTCCAGAGTGCTGGGACCAAAGGTGCGCTCCCCCATCCAGCCTCAAATTCTTCTGTAGCACTCTCCCTTGGCGCTCACTGCACAGTAAGATCAGGCTAGCCCACTCAGAGAAGAATGCCAAGGATTGACAGCAAAGGGAAATGTGTTCCTTGAAATACTAAAAATTCAAGGATTGTATACAGTTCGGACCTCAGTTAAATCCCAGGGACCGAACAATATGATCACAAATTGGTTCCTTATGCTGGGGGAGATAGCTCACTCAGTAGAGCGCTTGCCTTGCAAACATGGGGGCCTCAGTTTAACCTCCAGAGCCCATTTAAGAACAGCAGACATGGGGTGCACGCTTTTAATCCCTGAGCTAGGGGGACTGAGGCAGGATGGTCCCTGGGGTTGGCTGCCAAGCCAGTCTAGCTTAGATGGTGACTCCAGACCTTATATAAGAGGGTCTGTCTCAAAGAAAGTGGATGCCATTCTAGAGGGTGACACACCCAAACCAACTGTCCTCTGACCTCTTCGTGCATGTACACACACACACACACACGCACACGCACACGCACACACGCACACGCACACACACACACACACACACACGCACACACGCACACACGCACGCATAATGCCCACACTCTTTTCAGGATGAACATTCAAAAGAAATGAAATAAGATTGGGTGATAGTGGTGCACGCCTTAAATCCCAGCACTAGAGAGGCAGAGGCAGGTGGATCTCTGTGAGTTTGAGGCCAGCCTGGTCTAAAGTGAGTTCCAGGACAGCCAGAGCTACACAGAGAAACCTTGTCTCAAGAAAACAAAACAAAGAAACGAAATTTGTTTCTTTTATCTCTTCTTTTACTTTGCCCTGTTTGGCTTCATGCTTCTGCTGACTGTTTTGACTGTTAGCAGAAAAGAAAAAGAAAAAAACATTCCTTTCGCTGTAAATCCAGAAAACAGCCCAACATTAAGTCTTTTTCTGTAACATTCCGCAGAACTGTTTACCTTCTAATGCTTAATCTATTTGTACTAGTTTGGGGACTTTGTTAAAATATTTTGTTTTACAAACCAAACAAGTTATCTTAAACCTTGGCTGAGAAATGACCTCTATCTCCACATGAAGAGAAAACAGATTATGCTGGCTAAGACTACTGTCTTCATAAACAAGCAAAAAATATCGTGACTTGGACAAGACAGATGTCTTGCTCTATGTGTAAGAGAAGTCAAGAAATAGGTACTCGGGGGCTGGTTTGGGGGCTCCAGGGTCATCAGGGATGTATATTTTGTGTCTTTTGCCCTATGACCTACGACTGGCCACAGGATGTGAATTAACGAGGAAGGGCCTGTCACTGTTTGTCACAGACTTTCCAGAGGTCCTAGCCTGACCTATGCATCTATCACTTTGACCAAAGAATGTTTGCTGTGGGAGAGGCCAGGAACTGGGGGCTTTTGAAAGGGCTCTGAGGAAGGAGGAAGCCTCTCCAGAGGGTATTTTTTATGTGGTTGAGATTTGCATCGATGAAAGACGCGTCAGGGCTGTCCTTGAACACTTCCCTGCAGCTTCAGCCCCTAGACCTCAGAGTTCCGGGTTACCTCTTCTTTCTTCCCTCTCTCTCCCTCCTCTCTCCCCCCTCCTCTTCAGCACAGTCTCAAAGTGTAGCTCAGGGTGACCTCAAACTCAATGCCTTTCTGCTTCAGCCTCCCAGGTGCCCAGATATTCAAGCATGTGCTACCTCACCTGCTAGTTCTCGGGAATTGTGGTTTTCTTTGCTTTATGTTTAAAAAACCACCTATGAGTGAGTGCATGTGATAATTGTCTTTCTGTGTCTGGGTTACCCAGGTCTGCGCACCATTCTCAATCCCCTTTTTGAGTTGACTTATCTATGGTTTCTAAAACTAGACAATTTTAGGGAGGGATTAGGCACAGATTTAGGGATGGCTGCTGACACAGGTCACAAACATTGGGGCTTAAGTAAGCAGCATTCATTTGTTGTTTTTGTGCTGTTTTGTGTGTCTGTGCACTCTTGTGTTCATGTGTGTGCACATGTGTGTATGAGAGAGCATGAAACGTGTGTGCCAGTGCATGTGGAGGCCAGAGAGCAACCTCACTCAAGTTCAGCTCCCCAGGAACCATCTTTCTTGTTGGTCAAGGCAGGGTCTCCCGTTGGCCTGGGGCTCACAGTGGGCTAGGCTGACTGACCAGTGAGCCCCAGGACCTACTTTCTCAGAGTTGGGCTTCTGAGT